TGATTGATTAGCAACTGTTGGTTGGCACTGTGAAGGTATCTGAGACGAGTTATTACTATGGTCTCCAGAATGTTACCGGGTGGTGTTCTTGCCGAGTAGATGGTACTTTTGCTGCCGTGATGTCATACTTGATAACTCTGATTCCGTGAGTACGCAACGACAGCATCACCCAGCGGATGTAGAACTGAAATATTTGTAATTGTGGATATTAATGAAAATAATATACATTCAGCCGATTTAAGATTAGTAACAATTTTAATACTAAACGGAATATTCTCTTTTTGATCTGACACCGTTGCAAGGCCTAAGTTGACACCACATGACACATATTTTATCATAGAGTCCACGCCTAATTCCACTATTAGTATTTTCCTCTCCACACTATATACTTCGCGCCCAGTAACAAGATGTTAATTTTACGTTACTTTAAGTTTTTGTAGCGATGGATATTGTGTTACTCCTTAGATGCTGATGCTCTCTCCGTAGAGTATGGACATACCACACAGTGGATTTCTGGTGGAACCTGACAGTATATGCAGTGGCGATGTTCACCTCGTGCTGCGTTAGCCAAAAAAATATCAATAAATGGACGGCTTTTTGCAGAACGGAACCAACACTTTTGACAATGATAACAAATTAATTTCAGGCCAAGCACGATTTTCCTTAATGGCATACTAAAGGTTCGAAATATGTGTATGGATCTTTTGTACAGCAAATCGTAATAGTTTATTTTCCTAAAATCTAGATTTTTCATGTTTAGTGGGTAGTTCCTTTCTGCAAAAAGCTGTCCAAACGTAAATGTCTTTATCTTACGTATTCAACATTACGAGTTGTTTCATTTTTCAAAAAAATTACAATACATATCGGCTGATGCATGATGCCCCTCTGTTTCTTCACCTTAGTCAGTTTTTATTGGGGTCCCCGAAAGAGGGTATTATTAACTTTTTTGTGTCAGATGGACGGTTTGTTACACTAATATACAATCTCTCTTTTCTAAGCTACTTGAACTCCAAGCATTTGTTCGAGGCAATAATCCAACGTTCGTTTGTCTTACTGAAACATGGCTCCATTCCAACGTGTCCGACTCTTCCATCAATTTGCCTGGATACTATTTATACAGAATGGATTCACCACGCACTCCTGGTTTTGGTGGAGTATGCATTTATGTTCGCACGGAAATCGCGTCGGCTTTCTCGGTATCTCCCTCTTTCAGTCCTTTCGATGGCATTGACAATCTATTTTTGGAATTGAGGTGCCCAAATTTCAGCTTCACGATAGGCTGCATATATCGGCCACGGCCCTGTTTGGGAGACACACACCTGTGCAGTCTCATTTCAGATCTCTTAAATAAAAACACCAACCTTTTCATAGCTGGTGACTTCAATCTACGTGACATTAGCTGGCCTATGTCAACCATTCCTGAATACAATTCTTCTTCTGCTGCTTACATCGACTTGCTACGCAACTCTAGCATATCTCAACATGTTGATCGTCCGACGAGATTCAGGGAAGGACAGACGCCTAGGGCTCTGGATTTGATATTCGTTAACGACGCAGACTTTGTTTCTAATTTAGATTATTTGCCACCTTTTGGCAAGTCTGACCATTGTTCACTTTTATCTTCTCTCCAGTTCAATATAAATAGTCGTTCTACAACCGATAAGTTTAAAACCATCAAAATTGTAAACCACGATGCTCTTAACCAAGCCCTGTCTGAAGTCAACTGGCCTGCTTTGCTTAACAATCGTAGCACCCAAGATATGTGGGACACTTTCGCTCAACGAGTCCTAAGCGAAACGGCTGACAATACTGTTGAAAAGAAGGTACACTGTGACCCCTCAAAGCCCTGGATCAACTCTAACATATCGAGGATGCTTACTCACAAGAGATCTTTGTGGCAACGGTTTAGGAGGAGTGGCCATTCACAAGATTACGTGTCTCATCGATCCTTTTCTAACCTCCTATCTAGAACGTTACATAATGCCAAACATGCTTATGAACGAAAACTCGTTACCTCCAAAAATAAGAAGAAGCTGTTTCGGTATCTAAGAACAAACCTGAATTCCAAAGTTTCATCACCTCAGATCCGCGACGCTGACGGTCATCTCCACATGGATGCCACCGAATCTGCCAACTTACTGGCAGAGTCCTTTAGTGATGACTTCGTCGATGAGCCTAATGGAGACCTTCTACCGACCACTATCTGCGATAGGTGTCCCAACAGCCTTTGCGAAGTTGAGTTCCTGCTTGAAGATGTATTAATGCACCTGCGAAATCTGAAGACCTCTTCCTCCCCTGGTAAAGATGGGATGACGGCTGCTGTACTTAAAAACTGCGCTTCAGCACTGGCCCTACCATTAAGCTTGATATTCACATCGTCTTTTAGATCTCATACCCTACCCTCATGCTGGCTTAGTGCTTCCGTTACCCCTGTATTCAAAAAGGGCGACAAATCCTCCGCTAAAAATTATCGACCAGTAAGTCTCGTTCCTATCGCCGCCAAAATAGCTGAAAGAATCATATTAGATAAGCTCCAGTCATTTGCTTTCGAAAATGACCTTATCCCTAAGAATCAGCATGGATTTCTCCCTGGTCGATCAATAATGACCAACCTTCTCCACTCTCTCAACGATTGGACTCAGTATCTGGACACAAAGACTCCTGTTGATATAATCTACTTAGATTTTTCTAGGGCTTTCGATCGCGTACCACATAGAAGGCTTCTGTTTAAGTTGGAATGTATGGGAATAAGAGGCTAGCTGTTACTGTGGATTAAGGCTTTTCTCACCGGGAGGACTTTCTCTGTGCGCGTCAGTGATAGCCAGTCTCACCTTCATCATGTAGCAAGTGGAGTTCCTCAAGGCTCTGTCTTGGGGCCAGTGCTGTTCCTTCTGTATACAAGTGACCTGCCCGCATTGATTTCCTCCACATGTTCAGCTTATGCCGACGACACCAAGATTTACAATACTGTCGTAAATTCTGCTATGCTTCAACGAGATCTTGATATTGTTTGTCAATGGTCAGTCAGTTGGCTTTTACCCTTAAATCTAACTAAGTGTTGTGTCCTTCACCTCGGGAAGACAAATCCGCGATTTACATACAAGATCTCTGACCACAACATCGAAGCAGTTTCGAGCCACACTGATCTGGGCGTTGTAGTCAACGATCGTCTTTCCTGGTCAGAGCATATTCACCACGTTACATCAAAAGCCAAGAAACTTCTATATATGCTGGAGAGGTCTTTCAAAGGATCCGATGTCAACACTTGCGCCTACATTTACAAGGCACTCGTGAGGCCAATTCTTGAATTCGCTGGCCCGGTATGGGACACTGTGCTTCTGCGCGATAGAAATCTCGTCGAATCAGTACAGCGTCGGGCTACTCGTATCCCTTTTGGAGCACGAAGACCAAGCTATGAAGATCGCCTTGAATTATTCAACCTGACCTCTTTCTCTGAGCGAAGACTTCGTGGCGATCTTATAGTTACGTTCAGGATACTTCATGGTTTGATGGGCACCAACCTCATGCATCTATACCATCTGTCGCGCAGCAATCTACGCGGACACAGCTTCAAACTGCATAAGGAGCCATTTAAAACAACAGTCCGACAGTGGTTTCTTCCCAACCGCATACTCAACACCTGGAATAGTTTACCTGAAAGTGTGGTTGGTGCTACTTCAGTTAATAGCTTCAAAGTGCAGTATGATAGCTGGACGAGTGTACAAACTTTATAGCTATGAACTGTATTTTTTTTATTTTTTTCTATTTGATGTATTTGTGTTACGTATCCGTACACTATATTTACTGCATGAGCACATGAGCTTATAGTACTGTGTACTCTGCTCATCTCAATAATAATAATAATAATAATAATAATAATATCTGCTAGGAGCGATCATCAGATCTACCCTGCCCGCGTGTCTTCTTTGTGGGTAGAGGAGTTGCTATGGCCGGAGAAATTGCATCTCCAGACCATGCGAAGAGTTACAAGACATTAATGTTGTACTCTCTTTTAATACCCTGGCTGCTGAAGGGCTATGTGGGCAGGTAGTTCTATGGCTAGTTGTTACTGTAGCTTCAGTATGATTTTCTGTATGTTACCCTGACATGTTAGGTATACTTGCAGAGCATTTCATAAATTAGTTTCGATGGGAGACAGCGCAAAAGCCTCCCTGCAGCCTGATGGGCTTTCTTCAAGTAGACCTGGACTGAATTCAAGCCGATCAAGCCGACTTATCCTAAGCCAAAGTCACACAGGTCTATAATCTAAATAGGGAACAATGCACGAGTCAATTACTCGCACCTGCACATAAACATAGGCATTTGATTTCTATACAACTATGGGGTCCAACATCGTAAGTGCTGCTCTGGCTTTACGTAGATGGCGTTGATGTGAGATTTTGTCGACAGCCGATCTGCGTCAGTCACAAAATATCAAATGGTCATCTTATTGTGTAATTACATCTTTCTTTGCAAAGAGATGACCCATCACCAGCCCACTATGCTATCGTAGCCACTGGCTACAGCCGACAAGATAAATGAGTCAGGGCGTTTGTCCACCGCCGCCGTCACCGGACCGTCACCGAGAACGAGATTATTTCGGGCCGAGTTTAATATGACGTAACGGCGATCGTTTGTCCACCGCGACCGATTTCGCTGGTTTAGTTTGTTCCACCTGTCATGCGTGGTAGTCGCGTTTTCGAAGAAATAAAGTGATGGCTAGGTTAAACCGGCGACAACTTCTTCTACTATAAGCAGAATAGTGACTCAAGTGTGTCACCAAATATGGACTATTTTAAGTGGTGAACACTTGGCTGCGCCTACTACTGAGCGATGGTTATTAATAGTGGAAGGATTTAAACGAAGAGCTAATTTCCCAAACTGCATCGGTTGTGTCGATGGAAAACACATACGGATTGAAAAATTTCCGAAATCTGGCACTATGAACTTTAATTATAAGGGATATGTCTCAATTGTACTTCTGGCAGTAGTTGATTCAGATTACAGATTCGTATATGTTGATATCGGTTCATACGGTAAAGACTGCGACTCCGCAATTTTTCAACGTACAAACTTCTATCAACTACTCACTGAAGGCAGGTTGAGTATACCTCCACCTGTTCCACTGCACTCATCTCAAAATAACAGAATGCCACATGTTATACTAGGCGATGAAGCTTTCCAGCTGACTGAACATTTATTACGTCCTTTTGGCGGTAACCATTTAGATGTGAAAAAACGTATTTATAACTATAGACATTGTCGTGCACGAAGATACGTTGAATATGCATTTGGCATTATGGCCAATAAATGGCGAATATTTCATCGCCCTCTAAATGTAAACAAAAAACTTAGCAAAAGTATAGTTAAGGCATGCGTCGTTTTGCATAATATTGTACGTGAAAAAGATGGCTACAGAGGTGAGGATATGTTCATGTCTTTTATGCACGATGGGCTGTCTGATCTACCAAGGGAAGGTAGTGTACTGCATGGTGGGCGTACTGCTAACGGCTCCTCACCTTGACAGATGAATAAAATCTAAACTTGTAATTACTTAATTAAAAACATAAATAATAAACTATCATGTATTTACTAATTTCGTCTTTGTTTTTCTGGTCCATATCCTCAAAGTTCGGCTCTAAAAAGGCACAAACATCGCGCCATGCATTTCTACGCAAAACTCTATCTTTGGACACTTCCTTTCTACTTTCTATAATTTCTATTAATGAATAAATATCGTATTTAAATTTTTTCGCCATTTTTATTGCAATGTTATACTAATTAATGATAATTGATTACAAACAAAATAATAACTGAGCTCGTGTACGGAGCGACGGCGACGGCAGTGTGTGGACAAGTTCATACGTGTTTTGTATTGCCGGCACATCGGCCCGTCAAAATCTCGGGCGACGATCTAGCGGTCACGCCGATCTACTCGCAATTTCGGCGGCCGGGATGACGGCGCTCGGGTGACGGATGTGCGGTGGACACGCGGCTAAGTAATGTAATGTAAATGTATGTACCGCTTCTTCGGCGCCGTCATCTAGTTCTCGGTGACGTGACGGTGACGGCGGCGGTGGACAAACGCCGTCAGTGTCTTCCAAAAGAAATGTAAACGCATTGAACCGAAAAATTGTCTGATGTTCTGTAGCTAGCCTAGTACAGTATCAACATGACACGTGAGAGCTCGCTTTGTGCAAAGAGACACTGCCACCTAAAAATAGTTGGTTGGACGTGATATCTACGTCGGCAGCAAGAAACTATAATTTTCTGGCATACCTTAACGACAGTCTGCTTCGATGAAACGAACAAGTGTTACACATCATATAGGCAACTCGGCACTCAGGAGAGAACTAAGTGGTCAGCATGTTACTATGCAGAGGTTTCATAAACTAAACAGTGGCTGAATATTCCGTCGCTGCGAGGATTAAGAGTAATGGTAAAAGAGACTACAGACCAATGTCAAAAATCTCTTCAATTCCCAAATTAATGGAATCTCTAATCTCTGAATACCTAGGAGTCAACTGAAAAATATAGTTATCACAAATCAACATGGTTTCGTTGAGGGTAAGTCCATAACAACAAATCTTTTTATTTATACTCGGACTATTTAGAACGCGTTAATGTGGTAGACTCAATTTATACAAATTTTTCAAAAGCCTTTGATAAGCTCAATCCCAATAGCCTTTTCAGTACTCCTCTCAAAACTTGACATACAGGAGTCCCTGTGATAGAAGGCAAGTTCTCAGGGTGAATGATTATTTGACACTATTTTTGTGTCGTCTGGAGTTCCACAGGAAGCACATCTTGCACCACTGCTTGTTAATTTAAAAATTAATTATGTGAGCGATTGCCTTTTATACTCAACTTTTATTCCATATGCTGATTATTTGAAAATATTTTGGGAAATTGGTGATGTAAATGATGTGATAAAATTACAAGGTGATATAGATAGGTTTTATGATTGGGGTATGAGTAATCTCTTAATTTCGATTAATGTATGTGTCAGTCAGTTCTCCAAATCTTTAACCGTATCAGAAAATACTTATTCGGTTGATAGGGCTATCTTAAAAGATGTTAAGTCGGTTTGCGTCTAATTTTTGGTTCTGAGTTAACTTTTGCTCAGCATATAGAGATTTGCTGCAGCATCCCTTGTCAGATCTCATTTAGAAGGATCTACTAGTGTCTGGAACCACTACTACCAAGTCTACATTGACAAATTGAATTCTATTCAGAGACAATTTATTTAGTATATAGATTTTAAAATAAACATCCCAAGGACTGCATAAACTGTAGGCATATGGAATCTGACCTAAGGCTCAACAGTCTGGTCAAGCGTAGACAAAATTTTGACACCCTTTTGTGTTACAAATATTGCCGGACTAATAAATAGGCCGGAACTGTTGGGCATAATATATTTTAATGTTCCTCCTAGGACTCTAAGAGGCCAGAAGTCATTCAACATCGCACCCTATACGGTCAAGACTCGCCCCTAAATAATATGTTGAAAAATGCAAAAAAAAATCCAGGTCAACATTTTGCATTTATACCATGAGTCCCTGAAACGAACCTTTAAAAATGTTACCTAACCTTTTATATATGATATATTTCTGACTGCATTGTACTTTATTGTGTTAAATTTTATTTATATGGACATTAATTTTGAACATATCTTATTAACATTTAGTAAACTTTGTTACCTTATTAATTTAAATTGAATAAAATTGAAAAATTAGGCTTGTCTCGTGATTGTATTAATAAATAAATATAAATAAATAACTTTGACATGCTTTCATCGATTGTAGCTTGACTCAAGTCAGTCATTTCGTTTCTATCTAATGTTTTGATTTCTTTTTTTTATATACATTTGCTCATAATATATATACTTTATGACCATTAGCCATGCCTTGAATTTGTATATTGTGTGACACACACAGGCTTATAGCTTAGGTGTCTATTCTTTTGTAGTAAATAAAATAAAATAAAAAAAATAAAAAATGAATAAATAAATAAATATACAACAACCAGGCTCGCCTTTCTGCCTTCCGCTCCCTGTCGCCATTGACTCGACATTTGTCGCAGAGGTGATAGCGAGAAAGCATGAAACAACTTTATACACAGCCACAGAAACGGCAAGTTAACATATTATCCAGCCAAAGCTTGTTTTGTTTCTCCTCCGCTGTGACATCATTCTGCAATGGTCTGCTATGTAATTCCATCTAGCGACGTCTGAACAATAAGCTCCCACTTCTCACTATCTTTAAGCTTTATGTTGGATACAACTTTTGATTGGCTGTACTATAACGTTGCAACTTCCGTCCCCGAGCAGCACATACGGTCGGTAGGAACATCTTAAGTGCTTTCAGTAACTTAATATAATGTCTCGGCAGTTTTAGCAGCGCTGAGTGGTTTAGGGTGAGGGTGGGGGTGGGTGACGCCTAATCCCCTAATTGATCAAATACGGCGGCTGAGATGATGGATTCGTGATAGATGGAGGAGCCCTCATCTCGGAAGGGTGTGACTACCCGCAGGTACCGGTAATAGCACCTGTAAAAACTCATCAAGGGTGGATAGAAGTAGAATCAGATACAGTATTGAGAAAGTTAAAGACAATTATTTACCTGAAGGGTAAAACCGCAATCATCATACGCGGTCATTCGCATCCCTCCCTGCCAATGCTTTTCTGCCGCAGGCGCGTAGGCGATTGCTTATGTCTCTTCACTAGATCCGCCTCTTCACTTCGCACGTCTACGGGAATCTGAGGTTGTATGATTTTTGGATGTTATGTGACATGAACATCACGTCAAACAATGTCACTCCTTTCCGTCAGACTGTAGATCCTTGGCCTATCTATAATTTGGAAAGGACTGCTCGCGTTTTAAAATCGTTCCAGAGTCAGCGGAGAATAGGGCCAGAGATAAAGAAATCACAGGCTCCTGGTTATTTCCAGAGACATTTTTGTATGGGCTAAAAATTGGTGGTTAGTGTTCTTAGGAAATGTACAGTAACAACAGGCAACGTACCTATTAGACATAATATTCCACTCATCATTACATGTATCCTTAAAACTTAGAAATATATTCAACAGTCGCGTGTCGTCTGATGATCTTACGTTGCAGTCGGCAGTCGCATCCGTGCTGCTGTGGGTTGTATGCAGTAAAAATCAATACCGTCATCCTCACGGGATCAGGCCTAGCAACGATCATATGCGCCTGCAGAAATTTATCTAAATTAGAGAAGGAAGATTGTTCAGTCCTTTGTTATACTAGCTAACTTTTCACACCGAACATTCTCCTTTACTAACTGATGACTGCGTTTCGTGGAGAGTGCAGAATCAACTTATTTGATGACATTTTTTCAACCAACTTCAGTCTATGTCCAAGGCACTAAACATACTTTCATATTAGTAACAAACCGTCGATTGGCAATTAAGAGCTGAACGTAGTTGTATGGCCTTTTTTCATGTTTACCAGATTTTCCGGGACACGTACAAAAATTATAATATTCGAAAGTCCAAGGGCCTTTTCGTCAGTTGTTCCTTTAGGACGCCTTTATGGCATCCTTGATTTTGATAGCCTTTTCTCTCCGTCAGAAAGGCTGGGGTATTTCTAGATTTCTACTGTGTCGCTCTCCTATTGTGAGACTATGTTTTCATTTTAAATCGTAGGTGATTTTAGGCTGATATAACAGGTGACATAAATCAATAGCATGAACAATTTGATGCCAATAGATATTTGTAACACAGCCTCAAAATAGAGCGGAATAATAGGAACGCCTGACGATACGACCCTAAGAAACAAACGGACATTCGAAATCACGAAAAATGACGATAACGTCATCATTTTAGTCTGTAGTAAAGACAAACGACAGCGATTTGTCAATATTTTTAATGATGTTTCAAATATGTTCGACAGAGACAAACAGAATTTTATTGTCTGAACAAACTGCATTGCTAATTTGCAGGTATCCGACAAAGGTAGACGATGTTTTCATGTTGCAGGATCGATCATATTTGAAAGATGAATAGTTAGGTTAAGGTAAAGCAGGTTAGGTTGTTTTCGAATAATTATTTGATTTTTGGTGTTAATTTCTTAAAATAATTATTAAGGTATCACTTAAAACCATGAAATGAAATGAAATTAAAAATAATCAGTGAAATAACCTAACTTCACAAAATCGTAATATAAATTCATGACATCGTGATTTTATCATCGATGTACCTGTACGTTCACTGATTACTTCAGTACAATTTATGGTATGTCATAATAGTCATTTTTCATGATTTTGACTGTAGACGCGATATTAATATAAGTAGCTGCAATATTTCCAAGATTTTAAGGATCGATAACCTCCCTAATAGTTTCCAGAATTTTTGAAACCTTATTAATCGCCAAAACCATTATATACGAGTTTTCAGAATACAATTTAAAAGGTTATTAAAAGTTATCAGCACCTTTCGAATCTTAAAAATTTTCCAAAAGTTCAATGTTATAACCTTCGAAATTAGAAAATTTTCTAAACCATTGCCTTTTCCGCTTTGTACGAGTTTTTCAAAGATTACCAGGGTTATAAGGTATTTCTCAATATTCAAAGACTTCTGAAGTCCCTGGCTTTAAAATTCGTTTCATTTGATTTTTCTCAATTTCATAATTTGAAAATATACTAGATTTTGAAAATTTCCCAAAACTCTCAAAACCTTCAGGATCCTAAAAACCTAGGTGTTTAAGATTTTCATTCTCTCAAAAATTCACAAAGTCTTCGCAGAATCAGTCGCAGTCAAAGTTTCCAATATTATCAGAAATATCAGATCGCATAGACGCAGACATACCCTATCCAGCTTGTGTTATGTACTTAATACTCCTCTGGAGGACGATGGAACGTCTGTTTACTGGAGGACTGTATATCTTTGTAGAAGCGGACCCTGACACTCAGAGATGAAGGGAAACTATGGTTCCTTGGTGCCGTAGTTAGGGGTCAGTTATATATAAATTATTGGATTACAATGAAAGGTTTAAAAAAACATTCCGCTGTACAAGCGGGCCTCCCTATCCATCCACCGACGTAAATAACCAATGACAAAAGCATTATAACTGAAAGGCAACGCCATCATTCTGAACAGGCTTTGTCTGAAAAGCTATGGACTTGTGAAGACAGCAGCACAGTTGTCGGTTCGATGAAAGAACGTCAATGAAGTTACGAATGTGCTTGTCCTGTTTGTACTAAGCTAGTTCATGATGTACCTGACGCCATAATCTAGTGAATGCAAGAATTGCAGTTAGTACAGTCACATTAGTAAATTATTAGTCTTGTACCAAAGCAATCACGAAGGAGATATATCGAGGAGGAATATCGAGGTGCTGCAGAAATATCTTGTGAATATCATTTTTGAGCTGCTGAAGATTAGTGCTGAATTATCAAATCAAACTGTCAATAAGTCTGTCGCTGTAGTTGAAGAGTGGGAGGTGTTTCTGTACTACCAAAGTTTTAAAAATGTCGAAATCTTCAACATCTACAGCAATATTTAAAAACTGAAGTCTCCATCATTTCAAAGCTTTAATTTTATCATTATTTCAATAACTTCCAAAAGGTAGCTATTCCGGATTATTTATTCATCCGTTCATTTACACCCTGCAGCTACAGCTTCAAGAGTAGACAATTTATTTTACATTACAAACAAAAGTAAGTATATAGTTCATTTACAAGACACTGCTTACAAATGTTTCCGAGTATAAAATGTAGATAAGAAAGCAATAAATATACAAGACCTCACGGAAATATATCCATTTGCTCAGCAATATCGTTAACCTTACCACAACAGTAGGTAATTGAGCAAACCTTGACACGTTTGTTCCAGGATTAAGTAAATAATAAGTTTTTCACAACACAACATGGTGAAAAAATATTCAATCCGCAAAAGGATATCCATGGGCGTGGACCACAAAATAAATACTTTTACGAGCATTAAGTAATAATAAATGTTGGTGACCAAAGTAAATAACCATGGTATTATGTTAATACATAGTATGTGGCGTTATGTATCATGAATTACAATTTCATTATTGAGTTTTATTCAGTACCTTTTTTAACGTGTTATTGTATTATTCAATTTGCTGGTATGTTATTACATAATAGTGTAAACTGATTCATGAATGATTTTAGCATGATACCTTTCTTTGGGGACATTTGAGAGTTCTTGTTTCTAATTTTATAATCCACAATGTATAATTTTTATTTTAATGTTGATCTATGATTATACTCCTAATATATAATCTATATATGTTAAGAATTTCTGTTTCAGCATACAAAAGATCAGATGAAGGTATATTATGGGTTTATTGTATATTACTTTCAGAATAGATCTTTGTACTATTTCAACCAATTCTATTAGCGTCTCATTTACAGAGCCCCAAAGTGTTATTCTGTAAGTTAAGCGACATACTTCTAGTGCGTAGTATATATAGGGTATTAATGTTAGAAAATGCCCAAAGTGGTGGAATTTATATAAAAATCTTAATTTTATTAATATAAGTGGAATGGACAGTCCAACAAAGTCATATATTGATGAATACGCCAAGATACTTTATATATTCCTTTTAAGACATTCTTGCAATGTAAGGCAAGACGAACATAGTGAGTTTTCTTATAGTCAACTGTTAATAAGCACTTTACAAGCCATTTTATTATATGAGTGAAATCTATTTCTGTTATCACGTATTTAACGCACATCAACGGCTCCTCCTAAAGTTCTTTAAGGGTAGCCACCTTGACGATCCAATACATTCACGCCTAGATCATATTTATTTACTCAATAAAAACAAATACTGTGAGCAATTAAATTTAACCATTGAACGACAACGCATCTATTAATATCTTACGATTTATGACTATAGCGTGCAGTTAAGCTCAATAATTATCTTTATATGGCCATTGGAAGCAATGCTTACTGTTGAAAATGACACCTGAATCGTAAACTCCACTGTAGCAATTAAGAGGCACACAACCAATATCACAACCAAATATGGTCGTTTGAGTTTCGTTGCTAAAACTGACCACAGCATGCTATTTCTGCGAGACCAGTAGTTAGGCATGTCGACATTACGATGTAGCTTTTCACAATCACTTAGAAACTGTATGGTACAAAGAAGCTTAAAGTGGGACATCTAGTTGAAGTTATATGCCATTTAAAAAAAAGAAGAAATACAAGTGTCTGAGATTAGACCCTTGAGGTAGACCAGTCGTAACCGTAACCTATGTGAGTGATTCTTAAATTGTGGTCACCAGTCGCCCGTTGTCTACAAGTATTGTGTTACGTATCTGTTATTCTTCTCTTCTCTATCTTCAAAGGCGATACCGTACTGGTGATTCCAAGCAGGCCCGGATATACGGACACGGACACTGATTGTATTTCTCACAATTCACCATGCTATTCTGCGTGCACATGGCAGCTACCTTCAGCAATTTTAAAATTCGTGGAAATGGCTGAGATTAACTTTTCATTCTGTCCGTCGTCGCATTTGGAGCGCGCGGCTCCGGTAAATGGCTACTGTCAAAAATCGCGTCGCTGGAAATAAAGTGGCAAAAAACCGTCGTTCGGTCAGTGGCAACAACTTTTAATTGAAAACTCCGAATTGCCTGTTATTGGTTTTCTGATCCAGTTGCCAAACTACATTCCAACTTTGACGATATGACGAACCTTTTCATCGACACGCGGCCAGCAATTTGACGAACTCTGCAACAGCTGGGTATAAACTGTAAAACTGGTTATATCACCACCCTTATTGGGCATGGTCAAGCATGATTTTAAGTTTGCAAGCTTCAAATTGGTTTGTTACCCTCGTGCCAGGGGGGTGGTTGTAGATGCACTTCCCTGCATGATGTATGTTACTTCTGGGGTTCGAAGTGGTTGTTGATTTGGAGGATTAGGGCGCTGGGGGAAATGAAAAGATTGCCAATTTCCAAAGCTTGCCCAAAATCTATTTAACTATTTTTGTTAAATCACCTGAAGGGTGCTATTACAAAGTTTGCAACGAACTACCTGCAGGGTGCTATGACAGGGTTTGCAACAAACTACCTGAAGGGTGCTATGAAAGGATTTTCAAGTATTCAAAATGATCACAGTAAGCTCAAAATTTCACTTTGCAATGGTTAATCGATCACCTAACAACAAATAAAAACGAACATTAGTGACTTACCAAGTTTCCGGGGGTACGCATACCTCAGGATCACACCAGCTGTGAAGTTAGGATACATAATTCATACTAAGTGAAATTAGCTGCTTAAGTATATAGATACAGTTCGACGGGGTTTCAGCACATGACGTCTGTAGACATTGGCAACAGCTGAATCAGCTCCCTTCCTCAGGGGCTGCTTGGAACTCTCATTACAGGACAGGGCGTGGAAAAGTCCTCAGAGCTTCATCTGAGGGTATCAGCAGTAGTTTGGTGGAGAAAACGTATAGTGAAGAAGACGAAAAGTTGGAAGAAGATGAAAAAGTTGGAAGAAGATGAAAAAGGCCTGAAACAAAATATGGCGCCGGGTTCCATTTTAACGCAAGCCGAATTGCTTACCTCTGTTGGAGTGTGGCCTAAAAGTGTCGGCTAGAACGCCGTAAAAGCGTCGCAGACTCCCGTCTCCCACATCCCCGTAGGATTATATGAGACATAGAAAGGAAGAACGCTTAGACTTCATTTGGCGTAAAGATCCGCAAAATGCGTGCTTCTCAACAGAGCTACGACCAAAAAGTGAAGTTTCTTCAACCTGGACACGGAACACAAAGTTCGAGAGGAGCAATGGAGCAATGGAACAACAGCGGACTGTTCCCGGACTGGAAGGACCGAACACTTGTAAAAATGTAACATTGAGGTTAGGAAAGAAACGAAGACGTAAACAATTCTCAGATGAAGGGGCCTCAACTACAAAATGAGATAATAGGTGGAGAGTTACGTATAAACCATAGAGAAAATCTTCAGGTAGTTAAACTAGAAATATGTCTACCCTTGTTTAGTGTTTACGATTATTGCAGGGTCACGGCAGTTCCTACAAGGTTTGAACAGAGTTTACAAATTAAACCCGTAACAGGTTGTTCAAACGAACACATAAGAAAGTGTCTCCCAACTCGTCACACTCAATTGGGTAACTGGACATGCACGTAGAGCCATTGATTAACGTACTCTACCAGAATATAGTAAGCTATATATTATTTTCCGATATCCAACAAGTGAGCTGCAAGATACTATCGCCATCTATAACATAGTAGCGGAACACAAAAATTTAAAAATCTATTGCTTTAAAAGAGTTAGTGTTTGGATACACCTATGGACGGCAATAGAACCTTCAATACGTTTTGGTTGCCTCTCTTATGGGTGTTTTAGTTGAGTATCAAGCATTGACTAACGTATTCGCTAACTAATTCAGGAATAGATTTTTAAATTTGCTTTTGCGTTGTGCTTTTTACACCGAAGCATTCGCACAGGCCGAAACCTAAATACCAGGACACCGCGGCTGCTATGAGGATCCCAAAGAAACTATGTTAATCCGATTTTTGAGCTACCTAAGGCTAGTAAAAATGGGAAAAGTCTCTTCTTGCAGACTGTTCCACAATCTCGACTTTCTAGGGACGAAGGAGCGGTCGTATTGGACAGTTCTGCATGTACGAAGCTCGATACGGTTAGGTTAGTAGGCCGAAGTCAGACCGGTCTGTCTGGTAGGCACATCACAAAGCGGCACATGGAGAAGACCTCGGAGGCGTCATGTTCGTTGGTGTAGCGGCAGAAGAGAGCTCGGTCGTCAACGGCCCTTTGATGTGAAAGGGTTCCGAAGCTTTCCGTTAGAAAAGAGTCATCGATTGGTCTCTAGAGAGCATCGGGCATGTATAATGTAGTCTGAGTGGCAGCACACCAAACGTGTAAACAGTACTCGAGGCTAGTTCTTATCTGGGCCTTGCATAGAGTGAGGAGGCCAAGTACTTCTTAGCCCTGAATGAATAGCCTAGTTTTTTCCCAGCAGCTGCTGCCGTTGACAAGATGTGTTATTGCCAGATGAAGTCCGCATTCATCTGAACTCAGACCAGCCGAAATGAACAGCTCTTCGGCACAGCGCGGCCATCCATCGAAACCAAATGAGCGCTAGGACGCTTTTTGTTCGTCAATGTACAGTACCGTGTTCCGATTTTTATCATCAGATTGTAATTTCATATGCCTGAATGCATTTTTGTGCAAATTTTGTACTACGTATAAAAAAACTTTATCTGAAGTCACCTGAAACACTGTGAAATACCGGGTGCGTTTTATATATCTATATTTAACACGCTCTGTTGCTGCAAAAATCGCCAAATTTCGCAGCAAATATCCCCCGTATAAGAGATCAAAGACAGTTTCACCGGTCCACGTGGAGTAAAGCACGCCTATGCGTGGACATAGCAAATGAGAAAGTGTGTATTTCAGAGCTCCGAATAAGTGCAGGTGGCTACTGAAAATTGAAACAGTTTAGCCAGTGCCGTGTAGCGGTGAATAAACGTGTTTTCTTT